CCCCCCCGCGTTGGAATTTCGAAAAATCCTTTCTTAGTGTGCGTTTCCATGACGTACCCTAACTGTGTACCAAGTTTCACCTCTTTAGGTTAAGCGGTTTGCTCTGGGCGATGATGAATCAGTGAATGAATGAGTCAGTCAGGACAAGCAATTTTATATATTTAGATATTTGTGGCCCAATCCTTAAATATATTTGTATATTTAAGGATTAACAAGGTATAGATTATAGCAATAAGTATTAAATCTTTATCATGAAAAAGGATATTTTAAAAAATTACTTCTACAGATACTTCCATTTTTTACTTAGAAATAGTTAAAATCATTTATTTTAAAGGAGACTAACAAAACTTTATTTGAAAAACACAAATATTTCTTTTATTTGGGTCTCTAATTAATAAAAAATGACAATACACTATTTTAAAGTGCATTTTTATTCGACTAATAGGCCTATATTTATAAATAAAATGTAGCCAAAAAATAGCCAATGCGCCAAATAATATTTTTAACGCCAAAATAAAAAAAGGATAGCCAAATTTGGCGCAAAGTAGCCAAAATCATGCAACACTGGAAGGAATACTAAATAATGTTGGAATTGAACTCAGATAATTTTAGACTTAAATGTGGGGAAAGGAGAGAAAGAAGTGAGAAAGGTTGGGAAATTAAGGGTCCATATTTGTTTAACAGAAAGTCTATGTAACCTTTCTTACTACTTTTTATCTATTGGTCTTACTCTCTTTTCCGCGAATTTGGGTCTATAATTCTTTGAGTCTCAACTTTAGCTTTATTTAGTATTCCTTCCTCATTCACACATTTCCAAGTATTTGAAGATATTTCCTTTCCACTAAAAAATTAAATATGTATAAAGGTTTACGGCTTTGTGAAACTTCCCTTTTTGAATTTATGCCGCTGAAATAAATAAATAAAATAAAATAAAAAAATTTGTCAGTTTTCTTTACAAGTTTATTGAGCCGCATTGGAATTTGCCTTGGGCCGAGAGTTGGACACCCCTGCTCTACATAATCTTTCTCTGATTCGATGTGTTTCCCTATAATTTTCAAGTTGCTCTTCTGTCCGATGATTTCTGTTTCTTATGATTCGAGACCGCAAAAATTCTTTCATACTTTTTGGCATTGTTTTGTATATTTTTACTTTTCACACTTCACTATTCAGTTTTCACTTTCTACTTTTTTCTGTTATTTGTACACTTTTATTTATCAAAAGTCAACTAAAGAATGTGCGTCACACTTCTCCAAAAGTCATCCCACATCACACATAACGGTCCTCGACTATTCCAAAACATTTTCGACTATTCAAAAACATTTAAGATTTAGATTAAGATTACATTATATGTTTGATTTCTTGCAAAATACGGAAAAAACCCTCATCTGCTCACACTCAACACTTCCATTGTTAACACTTCCATTTGTGACACTTCCATTGTTACACATTTTAGAAGTCAACCACTTTCAACCGCATATCTCCCACACCCTTATAGTTATCGAGACAAAACCACCATAATGCACGATGGAAGACTTGGGGCTACTACCACACAAAAACACCATTCATGTGCGATGTGTAGTTTTGGCTGCGGAGTGAAATATAGGCACACACACAGATATAGATATAGATGTAGATATTGATATATAGATAACAACAAAGC